GCCACTCTGTAATTGTAATGATCGGAGACAGTTATTTGTATTGGAATTATGAGCCAATTGTAGCCAGCAATTATACATATACTTCCCAGCATATTCTCAGACCATGAGGGGAACTGTATGAAATAGTGGTCCCTAGTCTTTGCCTCTTTGATGTTCCCCAAATTTGCATGATGAAAGGACCTTAATTCAAAATGAGCGAAATTAGCGGGTAGGCATTACCGGTAGTCAAGATGGCTCCGAAAATCTTTCAGCGTTGGGTCAATCTCGTATATTTTCTGCCCATCTCCTGGTTTTGGGACAACTCGCGGTTTCTCCCCCGCGACTAGTTCCTTAACTCCTTTGGTTACACCATCAGTGATTGTTTCCACAATGCCCTGAGTCGGTTCTGAAGATTCAAGTTTCTCTGCGGTCCCCCCTGTCATGTTCACTTCAGCCGTTTGCTCCTCGATATCTTCAGGTATCTACAGCACACGAAAAATAGCAATCGTAGAGCAGACAAACGAAACCACAAACAGTGCATTATTTTGTGAAGTTCTTGCTAGAATGCACATCCATCTGAGTTTTCAGTGGCCCAAGAGCCAGCGCGGGGCCACAGCTAACAAACTGCACAAGGCAGTGAAGTAGTGCACAATGCTGATAGAAGAAGCTTGAAACCTGATGCCTCCGCGGCTTGGTTCATCCGATATTTGGTAAGTGAATAACGGGTGCATGAAGATTTTCCGGCACGACGGTGTGTACCTGTAATTCTTCGGGTTGCGCTGGAGTGGCCGCCAAGTCGTCGCTCTCACCGTCAGGCACCAGGACCTTCCCTGGAGAGGCCGCGCGGCTCAGGACGGCGCCTGCAAATGCAAGGATGAGTACAATACTGAGACAATGCTACAACTTATTTGCCAAAAAAATGCTACAACTTGCAGTTACAGCAAGAACAGAAGAAAGAGTGAGAAAATATCAGCATGAAAGGAGGAGATGATCAAAGCCGTGGTAACACCAGGGCCTGAGGCGATCGCCTAATCCAGCTATCTCTCTCGTTCATGGAGATCAACTGGGGAACAGCATCGAACAGGCCATGCGCGCGCAGAGAGGCGAGGGAGAGAGAAGGGGGGCCAAAAATGGACGGGGAGATTGGAGGGAGCGAGGCGTACGAGAGGAGTCCTTCTTCCTGAGGAGCAGCGACGGCAAGTCCACCCCGCCCCTCCGCTCCGAGCCGGATCGCAGCAGTCCGCCGCCGGCGCTGGCGGGCCGCGCCACACCGAGGGTCGCGCCGGACACCGCGAACGTCGCCATCCCCGCGCAGCGAGTGAGTCGGTCAGTGGCCCAGATCTCACTCAACCCGCCGGCCGAAATGCAGCGCGGAACCCGAGTGATGGAGATATTAATTGAGAAGCGATGAGAAGGGGGAGCAACGTGTGCGGCGGGGGTGGAAGCTGGCGGGTACTGTGCAGTGCATGGGGATGGGGGAGAGAGGAGATAGACGCCAAGCCGGAAAGGGGACCCACGGGGAGAGTGTGTGTGCTGCGTCGTCTTCCTCCCTCGTGCGCGCGCACAGAGGTGGCAGCGACGGATGGACGGTGGAGGCGACGTTGCGTAGGGGACGGGAGGGAGGACGGGATCGCAAACCAACGGCTGGGAGCGCGTTTAGCTGGCCATACCGTTACCGCCTTCTAGTACCCTCGTTTATATTCTTATTTTGTTTACAAAAAATATTTATTGTCTCCCAGACAAAAGCAGTTGGTGACGATGGAGTGTCCGTTGTCCGTCGTCTCCGACCGATCATCCGATCCGCACGCATGCGGGCCAGCTATGGCATTTTCGTAATAAAAAAAAAGACCACACCACTCTGCTCCAAAAAAAAAATGTAGGGTACATTATGTATTGTACATATATGTAAATGAAATCGTAATACGCATACTTTCAGTGTCATCCTCTTCTCGACTCGACAACTGGGATGTTGATTTTCATTTCTTCGTTTCCACCTCGAAGACTCATCGGTGCATGGTTTGAGAATTACTACATGTCATGGTGGTTTGAGAATTAATCTTCCTTGTTTGAAAATGCATGTGTTTGCCAACTCATGCTTCCACTAAAAAAAGTGTGAGCTATGAATTTCCAGAGGTGAAAAGGCGCATGGTTGCTCCCTCCACATGATTAATCAGGCCTGATAGCATTATGGTGTTCATGTGCGTCTCTCTTCCTTGCTCCGACACCCTCGTCCCCGTGTGTCACGCACTCACGTCCGCTATCAGGCTCAAGCCTGTGGTGCTGGGCCCCTGCCTCAGCGTCTGTCCAGTTCGAATGCGCCTGTTTGGGTGGTTGGCTCGTTTGATGCCGTGTGGGCATTCCAGCTTAGGGTCTCGCGCATGTACTTAACTTTGCAGCGAATCAACATGTGGTTGTATGGTCGAAGAGTAGGGTGTGCGCGTGTGCATTCATAGAGGTGAGTGTATGCGTGTATGTATGAGTGCCTGTGTTTGTACTATGTTCAAAAAAAACTTTGCAGTTGGTTCCCAACAGACGTTTTGGACTGGTCGAGCCTTTTGTAAAGCTGGGCCTAAATGGCCTTTTTTTTAAAGAAAACTAGACGGTAATCTCTTCACGGCCCCACCGCCAAAAATAACCCAATAAAATCAAAACCAAAATCTCTAAAATGGAGGTGTTTTTGAGGAACCCTACTGGGTCTGCAAAAAAAGAAACTGCCTCCGGGTCGCCTCCCATGTGACTTTGAGGCATCCCCGTCACCAACCTCTCAAGCGCCACCTCGCCAGATCCCCTCGTCGCCGCCGTCGCTCGCCGCCCCAGCCAGTCGACGGCGGTGGCCGGCTGCCCCTCCTCGCGCTCCCAAATCCTCATTCCTCCCCCTCCTTCCATGCGCAGATCAACGTAGCCATGCGGATCTGGCAGGGCGGAGTGATGTTTTTTGCCGCCGCTGCCGTGTGCATCCTATATGGCAGCGCCGAAATGGTTTGGGAGGTGAGATCCCGACATGGCCACCTCCCACAGTCGTTTCCTGGCGCCAATCAGACGACACCAAAGATCTCCCGCGGACTGCTACGACCGGGCACGCGCACGACACCTCACCCAGGAGGCATGCGTGCGTGCTCGGTTCAACAAGCGTTGGATCGACGCTTGTGGTGGGCAGAGCGATGGGCTCATTGCGTGTTCTGCCGTTGCCACGGGAGTGTGACCCGGTGTTCTGCAGCCTCCATTGGCAACGTGAAGATCCATTTCCTATCTCTAGTGGTGAGAACGATCCACTGGGTCCGCTTTGGCACCTTCATTGCCTCGTTAACCAAGCTGCTAATAGGGGGATCAAGACGGTCGTGTTTGAAGAAGACCGGATAGGCTCTGTAGGTTCCATCTCGCATGCTCATATCGAGTCGAGAGCCGGAGAAGATTCCATAGAGCATGCATAGCAGATCGGAAGAAGTATGTGTGTCGAATGATTGGCGTTTTGCAGTAGTATTCTCCGCGAGTGGGGCGGCGACACTAGGAGACCTCGTTCTTGGCGGTGCTCTTTGAGTTCCGCGTCTCAGTTTCCGGGGTGAAAACCTTAGGTCTGGTCTTTAGTGCTTGTACATGGCAATGACGGCTCCCCAGTCGTTTTTCTTGTTGAAGACATTGTCTGGAGATGAGACCTTCTCCAGTGTGAAAATTCAGGATCTGATCATGCTGGTTGGATCGGACGACGACGGTGTTTGTGCACGGTTACCTTTTTGAAGGCGTCGTTTTGGAGAATGGAGAACCTTCTTCGAAGTCTACGTGTCATCACCACTCTTCGTGCTCTTGCTGCTGCGAATCTCTATTTGATTCCGCGGGGTCTTTGTTTTCTTTTTTCTTCTTCTTTTGTTTTCTTTTGGCTGTATGCATGCTTGATAGTTACACTTAATCTAAACATTATGTTGTTGCAGAGGTTGGATGTATTTGGTATCGTCTTGATATTAATATATTCTCTTTATCAAAAAAATGGTCATTATGCTATCACCTGAAGCCGTGCACTGATGTTTTTTTTGGCGGGTACACTGTTGCTAATTTTAAGCCCTCGGTGATCCTAGCAAAAATGCTAC